AAAGTTTCCTCAAAAGAAGCTTGTAGCTCAAGTTATGATTTTTGGAACAAGGGTGCAAAACATTCTTAACTTAGAAAATTTTTGACCTATTTTAGGCAGGATTTTTGCCTAACTTCATGGCCACTTTTCACATGCTTCCACTTGGAATTTCAAATTTCATTACAAAGATGGATTGTAGTACACATTCCAAGCTTTCCAAAATGTCCAAGAACTCATCAAACACCCTTGTGGTTAGGGAGAATCAAATTTGTCAATATGGGCAAAACTCACTTTGTTCATGAGCCATTTCCATGTCCATAACTTTGCATTTTTGAACTCAGCATGCTCTAAGCTAGATTACAGGCCTTTTATCTCATCCACACTCAATAATTTAATGCAAAACCTTTGTGTCCTAGCATTATCTTGTCCATTAAGCCATTACACAAAAGATTAACCTTAATATGGAAAAAGCAAATTATCCATTTTTGAAAAGTATGGCTTTATGTCAAGTTTGCAAATCAAGAAGTACAATGCAAATCCTTTTGGCACAAGTTCAGGGATATATCCCACTGATCAAGACAAAGCTTTGCAGCACATTTGAGGGGCCTGCATAGGCCTAGAAACCAAGTTGACATTTTTTGCTTAAGTTAGAAGAAACCTTGCATTTTGTAAAAACAACTCACATTGTTGCAACCATAAGCCAAGAAAAACTTTCTCCACACTTTCCATACTCCCTAACAGACCTAAAACACGAGCCTTTACCCCTTGATACCTCCCCATTCACAGAAACACCATTGTACTGCACAAAAACAGTGCATCCCTGCAACTTGACTTCCACAAACATTTCCCCTCATGCGTTTTGGATAAAACCTTTGCAAACACATTCCCTATCACCCACTGAAGCTATCCCAAGCATTGGACACGACCTGTAACATCCCTAACACCATTTGCCATTTTCAGTTTTCAACTTTGCAGGTGAACTTCTGTAGCTTGATTTAGCAGGATTCAAAGCATACCAAACATTGGAATAACATCCCTGGACTTCAAGCAAGCTGTACCAATCCTCACCTTGCCTTGAAAGTGCCTCCATTGTCAGATACGATCCAAGCTGAACAGGTAAGTTCATGGACTTCTATATCTAAATCTAGGAAGAGTTAGGTTTAGATTTATGAATGAAAAATGTCATGTTCATGTCCCTGAAACCATCCATATCCTCACTTTCCATTTATATTGCATATGCTGAGAGAATTTAAGACCTGAACATTGACAAAAATTTAGGTTAAGAATTAGGGATGGAGAAATTCTCTCTCATTTCTGAGAGTTAGATCAAGTTCTTGGTATGTATGGAATCGTGGCTTGATGCTTGACATTTTTCATGTTATAAGTTTGTGCTAAAAGTCCAGGAATCAGGATGTTTGAACCATGAGGGAAAGGCGTGCGTTTTGTTTGACATTTTTGTCTGGAGGTTGAAGACAACCTCTATGGGCTGGGCCTAGAGATATTTTTCCTCTTTGCACCACATTCTCACACATGCACCCCCTTGGCCCATTGCATTTTATTTTCATTATTTTTGACTTTTGATTTTTGTTTCTGACTTATTTATTTTTGACAAAAGCATAAAAAATATTAAAAATATTTTTCTCACATTTTTTGCATTTTTGGACATTTATTTTGTTTCATTTAGTTTTTATATGTAAATAACACATAATATCTTTTATTTAAAAATACTAAAAAAAATAATACAAACACATTTTACTTATGATTTTTACTGTTTGTTATCTCTTGAAAACATTTTATAAAAAATATACTTTTTTTTGTAAATATTAAATATTTTATTTTGTACATATTTAATATATTTAACATATAATATAAATATATACATATTTATTAGGATATTTAGGATAAAAATACAAAAAATATACATTTTTATTTTTATTAATATTTAACTTAAAAAATCATTTTTTGACAATATACTTTCTTTTTATTTATTTTTTTGTACATAATTAATAAATATTGCACATATTATATAATAAATACCTTTTTATTTATAAAATTAGGGTTTTACCCTAAACTTGAAAAATCCAAAAATTAAACCTTTTTTTATTTTTGATTATTTGTCACAAAAAATGCTTTTTTACATACATATAAAAATCATTTTTGCATCTTGCATGTTTATTTTATTTTATTTAATTATTGTATATTAAATAATTTGTAATTCAATTTGGATGTAATAGTTTAGGTTTAATTTCTTGCTTAAAATATCCCCATTTGAACACTTGTACCCCCCATCCCATAATTTGTGTTGTAATAATTTAGGACCTTTAAATTCCGCACTTTAAAAGCTTTCTAAATATGCCATGATAGAATTAGGATTTGGTATACAAATCAAAAACAACAAATAGTTTGACCTAAATTCAAGATAAACAAGCATGAAAATGGACAACACTAATCACACTTGCACCCCTAGGTATTCCACTTGTTGCCTTCAATAATGGGCCATATTGCATGTTAGGTATCTTTGGCAAAAACAAAACAATCAAATGATCATAGTCCCTCGATGACGCTTTCGAAAGTTGCCTAAAAATGATCAAGTCCCTTAAAGGAAAAATTGCCCAAAGATACTTGGCACCATTGCAATCATGGTCTAAACAATGACCCACGCCCGTCCCGTTCACATCCTAACACAAGATTGTCCACCAAATACAATGGTGGAACAAAAATTGTTAAAAGGGTTAAAACATAGGAAAAATCTTTGAGAAATTTAGGGTAGATAGCTCTTGGTTACTTGCCAACTTGCAAAACAAAAACACTTGCCTATTTTTCAAAACCACACATCACAACACACTTTCAAAACAACTTTCAAAAACATTGAAAACTTTTTCAAAAGACATACACCTTTGTATACATCCCAACATGGATCATTACAAAGGTTGCCACCACATTGGCCTCTTTTCAAAACATTTTCAAACCCACACACACAAAGCACCATTTCAAACAATTGAAAATCAAGGCAAGTTGATCTAAGCAAGTAACTAAGAGCCCATGGATAACCATGGATAGAAAGGGTGCTAATACCTTTCCTTTCTATAATCTACTCCCCGAACCCAAGAAAACATCTCAAAGGTTTTTGCTGTGCTTTTTAACCTTTCCTTAGGATAAAATAAAAAGTCGGTGGCGACTCTTGCTCAACCGAAACATTTGCGAAAACAAACGCAAAACCCAAGTCAGTTCTCCCACCGTATCATAATAGTGAACAATTATAAATCAATAATCACTTAACTTAATTGATTTTCTTCAACTGCATAAGAATGATTTGGTAACGTGATTAATAAAAAACACACCTTAGGATCATTTTTGGATTGTAAATAAAGTTTTGATGAGAAAGAGATAGAAAGTGTTACCAAACGGGCACTTTACGTCTGTTGATGCATACTCTTTTTAACGGTCAAACCAACAAGAAGAGGAAGTACATGTGTTCCTAAGACAGTTTACAACTACATAGTACATTCTCTGCCACCGTGGTCAAACTTCTATCTGTTTTCATAGCTTTTATTAAACTATTTGATCTCTACCTAACATAAGAATCAAGGTTTCAGGTCATCACCTCAGGTAAGAACTTTCACTTTATCACAACTTATGAAGTATACATTCCCAATTTGCAAAGACATATAGATAAATGTGATATTAACATGAACACTACAACATATGGAGTCATTCTACCTGTTTGTGTGCCTAAATTGGAACCAACTGTTGTGCTATCTAATTACACTCATAATGATATATATGCAAAGTTTCTCAACAATTCAAAGTACACTGGAGTTGGACTTAATTCTGAGGATGATTGGATGGTTCTTGTTCTTACTACTACTACACCTACTGGAACTTCGACGAGGCTTGAGTCTCCCACAACCTATTGATAGCTGTCAGGGTTTCTGCGAAAGAGAAGGATCGAAGATACTGTCCTAGAAGAGATCAACACAGGATTTCACCTTAAAGATTATGTCGTCTTCTTTCAACCACTCGTAGGCATCTGACTCGTATTCCAACATACTAACCTCCTGCACTAGAGTTTCGAACTCATTCCATGTATTTTGATCAACACCATCATTACTGTTCACTAAATCGACCAACTTCCAGTTCCAAACATGATCGGACCAAACTCCTGCATCTGCTACACAACAAGCAGCATTGATGGATGCTGCAAAAATATCATGAAAAGCTTCTACGAAATTCTTATTACCCAGCCACTTTGAGTGCAAAAAAGAATTACCTTTGCCATTTTTGACAAAACACCAAACCAAACCTGCAAAAGAAATAGCTAAACTAGAAACAGAATTATCGGACTTCACTAAGTCCCTCCACCAAATAGAATCCCTACTGAACGACACCCGTTTGTGTCCGATGAACACCTTTAAAACGGGATTCTCCTATCTACTTTTGAGAATACTACTCCAAACTGCCTCCATCTCTGTCATTATTCTCCATTTCCAGTTATTCAGAAGAGCCAAATTCATGACTTCATAACACCTAAACCTCCTTTCTCACGAGTTTTACATACGGTCTTCCAACTCACCCAATAGACCATCCTTTTGTTCTCACACCCACTCCATAAGAAATTATTTTGAATCACATTGGCTTTTGTATGTTTTATTAGAAATATTGTATATTACAAATGCTTTCAAATTTTAAAATTTGAAATTTAAGAGTATTTTTAGAATTTCACCGTTTGAGTAATCCAACCCTGTATTTTTAATATTAATATTTAGTATGTTATATGCGTTATATATATATATTCGTAAAAGTCGAATGAACAAATTGGATACCTAAGCATTTTAACCATAGCATATCAAATTTTGTTAAGAAAAACATTCAAATCTAACTGAACTACATGCTATTTGCCTTAAAAAGATCTTTAATTTCAAGCATGTGACCATAGCTGGACATAACCAAGTCGCACATAACATTGCTAAATATTTGAATTACATTTGAATTTCCACTCCACAATAATTACCACCAAAATCTCAATTAGTATCAAGGTTGTTGAAAGAATCACACCTATTTCGTACCTCTCCCTTCTTCCCCACCTTAACATTCAAAACACTTACCTTACGCATAGCATGACCAAAATCCTCAAAGAATTTGCTTTCATTTGTCGCATACAATTCCACAAATGGCTTTGTCCTCTTGTCCTCAAACATTAAACTATCCGTAGCCAATAGACCTAACCCTTTCTTCACACTTCATCCTTAGAAAACAACTTTCATCACTAAGCTTATTTTCTTCTGGCCTCTTCAGGAAGGGAAAAAGATATGGCTGGAATCTAGATAGATATGTCTGGAAATTTATAAAGGAGCTAATGTATGGATAATGGATAATGTATCAAGTTTAATTACTCTTCTATAATCTCTCACATGGCCATCACATTATTTGCTTGCTTGTTGTATGTTTAGTTCAAAAAACTGAATCATATCGAAAACAATATCAGAAACAAACACTTCATCCTTAGAAAACAACTTTCATCACTAAGCTTATTTTCTTCTGGCCTCTTCTGGAAGGGAAAAAGATATGTCTGGAATCTAGATAGATATGTCTGGAAATTTATAAAGGAGCTAATGTTTTGGAAATTGTGCTTCTGTCTAGTTTAGGAAGGATGTATTCTCAAGCAGCATGTTGAATTCACTTTTAAGCTAGTTTAATCCTGGATGGTTGTATCGCATGACATTTAACTTATGAGTTTTGCAGAACTATATCCATCAAAGAATTTCAAGCAACTGGTCTTTCCAAATACAAGTCCTACACTGGGCTAGGGGTATTAACACCAAGAGTATATTTTGATTCAGCTTCACAGTCAAGGGCTTAACAGAGAATAGCATAAAATGCAAAAATAACACTGTCTTAACTCAACACTTTCAATGCTAATTCTACAATCAAAATACAAACAACTATAACCTGTTCAATAAGTCCAATGAAAAATGCAATACAACAGAATAAAATCACAAGAGTGTTCTACGAAAGATAATATTTGTCATAGAGAAATGAATGATCATTTTATCACCAACACGCAAAGTCGCAACAACAGTTCAAATTCAATTGCAAAAGTTCACATAGAACAAAAGAAAAAGTGAAGTAAAATTTAACCTAAATAAAGAAACGTAGAAAAGCAAAACGGTTGAGAATGAAATAAACAACAAAAAATAGAGAAAGAAAGAAAAGAGAATACCCTATCAACGAGTAAATTGTGAGCCGAACACATTGGAGAACATCTCCATGGATAAAAGAGAAGCCTCAAGCAGAAAGGTTCCACTTGCTATCTGCACAACTAAAATCTGGGAAACCATTTTTTGTAAATTAGGTAGCCAAGATGATCTGTGTGCATAATACAAACTATTGGTAAGAAGAACATAAACTATTGGTAAGCAGAACATAATGAAACTGTTAACCAATTACATTGGAGAACATCTCCATAGATTTAACGAGAAGTCTCAAGCAGAAAGGTGTTTACTTGATATATGCACAGATAAAATCCTGGAAACAATTTCTGTTAAACAGAGTTACCAAGAAGAACTAAGTGCAGTTTTCTCATGTCCAATTATCAAAAGATAGATTTTCAAGTATATAGGAAGAAATCAAATTGACAGATTACAACAATATTTCCGATTAATGAAAAGGTTCAAGAACAATGAGATTAATCTGTAAACCAATTTCATTGGAGCACATCTCCATAGATTTAAAGAGAGGTCTCAAGCAGAAAGGATTATTACTTGGTATACGCACAGATAAAATCCTGGAAACAATCTTTGTAAGTTAAACAATGTTAACAAGAAGAACTAAGTGCGGTTTTCTCAGCTAGAAGACTAAAAGATCGATTTTCAAGTATTAAATAAGAAAAAAGTTTCACAAATTGACTAGACTGTCAATTTAATGAGAAGGATTATGAAAATATATATATATATATATATATATATATATATATATATATATATATATATATATATATATATATATATATATATATATATATATAGGAGAAGGTTTAAGCAAAAAAAGGCATAAGCGAACTAGGTACATTTTCAGAAAGGATAAAAAAAAACTAATTTCAAGCTTTTGATTAAGAAAGTGGAATGGATAGAATACATAGCCAACACAATGAATTTTAAGGATTAGTGTTTTCATCCAAGAGAAAAGCAACCAATTCAAACAAACATTTGAGGCAATGAAAAACAAGAACAGTTGATAAGATTATAGGAACAAAATAAAGTCAGTGATTTCAATTAACAATTCTGAGGCATTGGATGTGACAAATGGCACAAATAATCATAACATGATGATACAGTTCATGAAACAAGATTACAGTTGTCAAAATATTATAACAATGCAACAAAAAATTATATACATAAAGCCCGTATTTTAAATTTAACAGTTGAAACAGTAGATGTGACAAATGACCCAAATAATCATGATTACAGTTCTCAACATAGCATAACAAAGAAACAACAAATAATGTACAAAAAATTCAATAAGCATCAATAAAATAGTAAAATTACCTTATATATTGCTTGGATACATGAATACTCTAACCCTAGCTCCCTGCACAAACAGATTAATACCAAAACATTCAGAAACCATAAAAAAACTGGATATAGAAAAAAACAAGTGAACAACCAATATGACATCATTTTCACATCTTGCTTAGACTATTTTAAACTATCCAATATGATCTGATTTCTTCTTGTTTAATTAGGATACATCCTACTTAACTATTCCATGAATTTTAGAACTGAAGTACCAAGCAATAAGCAAACAAAAACTGCAGATTTATTTTCATAAACGCAATGAAAGTTGTTCAAACTTAAACGCAGATCATAAATCATTACTATAAGTAAGATTTTGAAAAACGATGAATAAAAGATGAACAAGAGAATGGGTTAAAAGAAAGAACCTTATTTTGAGTTCCACAGCTTCAGCGATTGTAAACGGATTTGAAAGAGATTAAACAAGACAAAAATAACGAAGGAGATGGTGAGGAGGGAGAGTTAGACGAAGATGAACAGTTGCATGTATAAAGTGGGGTTTTGTATAAATTTGGGGTTTCTGATAACCAATTTAGGGATTTAGAAATTTTTTAATTACCTTAGACAACGCTTTCAAGAAGCGCTGCTAAAGGTATTACCTTTAGCAGCACTTTAAGGCTTTAGCAGCGCTTTAGTTTAATGCCTTTAGCAGCGCTTCCTGAAAGCGCTGTCTAAGGTATACCTTTTATCACACCTTTAGCAGCGCTTTTGGTAAGCGCTGTCTAAGGTATACCCTTTAGCAGCGCTTATTCTTATTTTTTTTTAATTTTTTTTATTGAAAGCCTATAGCAGCGCTTAGGGAAAGGAAGCGCTGGCTATGATAAATCCTTTAGCAGCGCTTTTAGTAAGCGTTGTCTAAGGTATACCCTTTAGCAGCGCTTATTCTTATTTTTTTATTTTTTTTATTGAAAACATATAGCAGCGCTTAGGGAAAGGAAGCGTTGTCTATGGAAAGGCCTTTAGCAGCGCTTTTAGTAAGCGCTGTCTAAGGTATACCTTTAGCAGCGCTTACTCTAATTTTTAATTTTTTTTTTTAAAACCTATAGCAGCGCTTATGGCATAAGCGCTGTCTATGTGGCGCTGTCTAAATTCAATTTTGGCATAGTGTTGGACTGAATTTTCTCGCGAACTACATGACAGTCAAGCTCAATGTGCTTACTCCGCTCGTGAAAGGTAGGATTGTGGGCTAAGTAGATAGCTGATCTACTGTCACAGAAGATAGATGAAGGTTGAGAGAAAGCAACATGTAGGTCACGAAAGAGATAATGTAACCACTGAATTTCACAAGTAACGGAGGCTAGAGCCCGGTATTCTACTTCAGTGGAGGACCTAGACACAATGTGCTGCTTTTTGGATTTCCAGCATAGGAGAGAGGAGCCAAGCATGATACAAAAGTCAGTTATAGATTTCCGAGTATCCGAACATCTAGCCCAGTCTGCATCGGCAAATGCTACAAGCTTCAAGGCACTGGATGTAGAAAACAAAAGACCTGTAGCAAGGACGGATTTAAGATATCTTAGAACACGATGAGCAGCCTGCAAGTGAGGTAATCTGGGTTGAGACATGTACTGGCTTAAGTGTTGAATAGCATAAGAAATATCAGGTCTTGAATTAGTTAAATAAATCAAACGGCCAATCATCCTCCTATAAACAGTAGGATCTTCCAATAGAGGCCCCTCATGAATGGAAAGTTTGAGATTGGGATCAAATGGAACAGAGGACGGTTTTGCAGCCAAAACACCAACATCTTGGAGTAGTTCCAAAGTATACTTACGTTGATTCAGGAAAATGCCTTCTGTAGAGCGAGCAATCTCAAGGCCAAGAAAGAATCTCAGCTGTCCCAAGTCTTTGATCTTGAATTGTTGGTCCAAAGCTTCTTTGACACAATTAATCTCTATAAGGGAATTTCCTGCTAGCACTATATCATCAACATAAACTAATAATGCAGTGAAATGCTGAGCAGAAGATTTAACATATAGAGAATAATCAGCTAAAGACTGATGATAACCCAGAGAAATAAGAAAAGTGGATAATTTGGAGTACCACTGTCGGCTAGCCTATTTTAAACCATATAGAGATTTCTGTAACTTGCAAACTTTGGATGGGGAAACGCCATGAAGGCCAGGTGGAAGACTCATGTAAACCTCCTCATGTAAATCTCCATGAAGGAAAGCATTGTTAACATCTAATTGTTCCAAATACCAGCCTTTAACAGATGCAAGGGAAAGTAATACTCTGACAGTAGTAAGTTTCGCAATAGGAGAGAAGGTATCAAAGTAATCCACTCCTTCCATCTGAGTGAAACCCTTTGCTACCAGCCTGGCCTTATACCTTTCAATAGATCCATCAGCCCTGTGTTTTACTTTGTAAACCCACCTGCAACCTATAGGAACCTTACCAGGTGGAAGATCAACGACAGTCCAAGTTTGGTTCTCTGCAAGAGCTTCTAACTCAACATTCATGGCATTAATCCAACAATCATGTTTAACAGCTTGTTTATAAGTTCTAGGCCCAGACATGGCAGGGATAGAACAACAAAAGTGTTTAAAGGAGGGAGAGCATCTGTCATAGGATAATACAGATGAAAGAGGGTATAGGGTGGAATGTTGTTTAGAGGATTCAAGAGGCAAAGAGGGAGTTTTATTGAGGGTGTGGTAACAGTGATAATCTGTCAAATATACAGGAGGGTTGGTGAGTCTTATGGAGTGTCTAAGTGGAGGGGGAGAATTATGTAAGCCAGGGGAATCAATCTTAGAGGAAGATAAAGGAGAATGAGAAGATGGAAATTCACTAGATAAAGGTGAATTATCAAATGATTGTCCAATGGATATAGCAGAGGGTTCAGGTACAGAAGTGAGTAAATGTGAACCATTATGGAGGGCAGGGATAGAGGTAGCAGTAGGACTAGCTGGCAAAACAGGGGAGACATGGCTAGTAGCAGAGTCAAGGCTGTTGTAAGAAGGAAAACTGTCATGACTAGGAGTTTGGCTATGGCTAGGAGTAAGAATGGTATCATCCATAGGAAGGGATACATCAGTAGATATAGGAGACTGCTGCATAATGGAATAATCATCATACAGGGGTGGAAATTGGGATGTGTATTTAGGAGTAGGAGATGGCTGATGTAGTTTAAAAGGAAAGTTATGCTCATAGAAAATCACATTTCTAGACACAAAGATATTATGGTGAGTTAGGTCATAAAGGATGTAACCTTTGGTTCCATCCTTGAATCCAAGGAAGACAGATTTCCTGGCTCTTGAATCAAACTTGGTCCTATGGGATTGTAGAGTGGTAGCAAAACCTAGACATCCAAATACCTTCAAATGAACAATAGAAGGTGACTGTTGAAAAAGAAGTTCATAGGGGCATTTGAGTTTCAGAATAGGAGTAGGAAGCCTATTGATGATGTGTATGGCATGCTGTATGCATAAATTCCATAGATTTAAGGGAATATTAGATTGAAAAAACAAAGTTCTAGCCACATTTAGAATATGTTGGTGTTTGCGTTCAACTACCCCATTTTGTTGAGGTGTTTCAACACAGGTTTTCTGGTGTATTATGCCTTTAGATGCAAGATAATCAGACAATGCTACAAACTCGGTGCCATTATCAGACCTTAAGCATTTAAGTGAAGTATGAAAATGATTTTCTATATAGGATATAAACTTGATAATGTTGTCTTTGGTTTGACCTTTACTTTTGAGAAAAATTGTCCAGGTGTATCTAGAATAATCATCAACAAGAGTCAAAAAGTACTTGTGACCAAATACAGATATAGTGGAAAAAGGGCCCCAAACATCAGCATGCAGAATTTCAAAAGGAGCATTAGTTTTGCTATAACTATGAGGATATGGCAGCCTCTTTTGTTTTCCAAAATGGCAAGAATCACAGGGTGTGACCGGTGGAAATAGAACTGGCGACTCTGCTGGGGAATTAAATAAGTGGGGTGTACCTTAGGAATAGTTCATCATCATGTTTTCAATTGCTTGCTTTGCCTGATTTAATATTGTGGGCCTGTTTTGGGAGTTTCATAGATCCTAACCCGGATCTGGGGGATACCTTTTAGAAAGTAGCAACAAACTGTGAGGGAACTGTGCAGGGTATACCGACATGGTTGAAGCAGTTTGCTACGTTGATGTGGAACTTTGGTGAGTACCGGTAACCCTTGAGTCAAGTCAAGGAGAGTACGGGGCCACCGCGTGGTGTCGTGAAGCATTAACTGGCCTTAGGAACCTTAATTGAACCATCCTGGCCTCTTTAGGGGTAGTGAGATGACTGACTTTGGTGCAGTCCAAAGTTGGTTGATACTCGATACTACACTCATTGAGGGTTGCTTTCTTGGAATATTTTGATCGCCAGTTCAGTGGCTAAATCAAAACAATGAACATAGAAAACAACCCTATGATATTGAGCTCCTTAGAACCCGGTTACTTTTGATAGGACAGGTTTTTGAGCCCACCAACTTCAAGAGGGTAGTACCCCAAACTTCATGCTGGCCTAAACTCTAAGGGCTGTGGTGTGACTTGTGTGCCTTATCATGTTTGCTTTTTGTGAATACCTGTGGTGTGTTTTATCATAGCATCATAACATCATACATCATCATATGCATTTACTAACCACTTCAAGGGTTCGAATCTTCATCTTTGTTCTTGTTTTGTAGGACATGGAAACTATCCGCAGAAAGACAATTCAGGTCAACCTTGTCAGGGTCCCTCCTCAGCTTAAGGAACTTACATCCAGGATTCCCGAGAATTCTTCATTCAGCGAAAGGCATGGTAGACTCATCAGCTTGGTCAATACCAACATTGAAGAGGATATGGTGAAAGTGTTGTTCTAGTTCTTTGACCCTCTGCACCACTATTTTACTTTCCCGGATTATCAATTGGTGCCTACTTTGGAAGAGTTTTCTCAGCTTCTGAAGGTTCCCATTCTCAGTCAACTACCCTACAACGGTACGGAAAGGGAGCCAAAACTTGAAGAGGTTGCTAAAGCATTATGCCTACAACCATCTGACATCAAGGGACACTGGGAAATCAAAAGTGGTATCAAAGGATTCTTGGCCAAGTTCCTGTTTGAGAAAGCACAAGAATGTTGGAATTCCCTTG